GGGATTGAACTCAGGGGCACTTGACCAATGAACCACATCCCCAGCCCTATTTTGTATTTTATTTGGAGACAGGATCTCCCTGAGTTGCTTAGCTCCTCACCATTGCTGAGGATGGCTTTGAACACATGATTCTTCTATCTCAGCCTCCCGATCGGCTAGGATTACAGGTATGTGCCACCGCACCCAGCTGCTCTCATCGTTGACAGCACCATCCGTTTTTTCCAATACCGGCTATTAGCAGTGAAATATTTTATAAATTGCATTTCCAGTCCTCCCAAAGAATATAATTTTGATATGTAAACAGTATTTTTCACATTCTTACAGAAACAAACCAAGAGGAGCAGGAAAAATGATGGTCACGCAATTGGCCAGTGTGTGCCTAATATCCACCCACACCCACAGTTCTCTATAAATACAGTCTTGCATCACTTCACCTCGGGGACACATTCTGAGAAATGCATGAGTGGACAATTTTATCATGTTTTTCCATGTCATCCTGAGAACATCAAGAGTTGTTCTTATGCAAACCTAAGTGGTACAGGTCAATCACTCCTCCTGGCCTCCTGATGTAACCAAGAGAGTGACATACAGGAGATGTGGGGGCTGCCTAACAGTAAAGTTGTTTTTTGTTTTTGTCTTTTTATAAGAGAAAGCTTTAAAATAATGATAAAAATGTAGTATAGTACATACATAAGCCAGAAACATAGTCATTATCATAATCCAATATGATGTACTGTCCATAATTGTATGTGCTCTCTCTTTATGTGACTGCCAGAGCAGTCGGTCAGTTTAACCCTGCATCACCACGAACAGGTAAGTGACGTCTTCTGACGCTAGGACAGCTGCAGTATCATTAGTCAATAGGAATTGTTCAGCTGTTATAATCCCAGGGGACCACCATTGAATATGTGTTCTACTGTTGACCAGAACGTCATGCAGCACAGGACTCAAAGAGTAACGCTAACACTGCAAGAGATCATTGGTTGGGAATTTAGCATATCCATCATCCTGGGTACCTCACATGAAGACAGGAGTTTGATCTGAGCCAGGTGCAAACTGTTAGGTGATGAATAATATGGTGAGGAAACTGAGGCACAGAGAGCTTAGAGGCCTGCCCAGGGTTCCGAGGCTGGTAAGTACCAGGAAATCCCTGGACTACAAACAGTGAAGTGTCCGGAAGGGATTCCCATGATGTTTCCAGATGACTTAACCTCCCTTATACAGCAAGAAAAGAGGGCAGGGGGCACCCAGCTGTAGCGTCTCCAAAAATGCAAACCACCGAGAGCACCGAAGATGATAAGATTAAAAACATCAACAAGAAAGAAAAAGAACACCTATGGACATTTTTATGCGTGGCTTGTTTCATCACGCATTCAGGTAGTGTCATACCGATGGGTGTGACAAGGCCAGCATCGCCTGAGGGACCTGAGGAAGGTGCAAATTGCCACTGTGAGACCCTGACCTGACCAGTGCCTGAGGCAAAATCAAGCCCTGGGTTCTCAGCCCTGGCCATGTTAGAATCACTGGGAGTGTTTGGTTTGGGACTTGAGTGGTTTGGTTTGGTTTGATTTGTTTGTTTGTTTTAAGCTGATATCTAGGTTCCCCTCCATGTCCCAAGGAAATTAATCAGAACATCAGAACATGGGGCCCAAGCACCTCGGTTGGTTTTTGCTGGACTTTGTTTTGTTTTGCTTTTTTGAAATAGAGGTCTCCTCATATGGCCCAGGCTGGCTCCAGCTCCTGGGAGCTTGGTGTGTACCACCACGCCCAGCTAAAGCTTAACTTTTAATTTTTTCTAGTGTTAGGGACTGAAAGTAGGACCTTGTGCACATTAGGCAGGCTCTCCCCCACTGAGCTGCCCTCCAGCTCCTACTGTTGTCTTTAACTCTCCCAGATAATACCAGGGTTCAACCAACCTTGTTATACACGTGAAAAAAAATGATTCACCAAATGCCAAGCATTGAGGAAGTGGGGGGCTGCACTGATTCCAGACCAAAACCCATCAAAAACTCGACTCTTGGACCAGACTGGAGCACCCAGTAAGGAGACAGGACATGAAGACCCTGGGGTACATGGCACACTCAGAGCCTCCCACTCGTCTAGCTCACCTTGATCCGAGCAGGCTGTTTTCTCAGCATCACATGACAGAGAGAGAAATTATTTTAATTTAATCCAGAGTTACATTTTTTGGGAAAAGTGTAATTGAAAGAAACATCTGCTAGGCATATATTTGTCCCTCTCACCCTGCCAGCGGACTCTGAACGACTTGGGCCACGTCTATAGCTCAGACAGGCATTCCTCAGACAGAGATTCACGAAGCTCCTCTGTGGTGCAGGGTGATGTCACTTCCCCAGATGGTGGTCAGCACCTGGATGGGAGCCAGCAGCCTAACACAGCCCAGCCTCCTCTGTCTCTCTGAGGCCAAGTTCTCCACCCTTGGAAGATGTGACCAAGAGCACCCTTAAGCCAAATTATTTTGGAAATGGAACCAAGTGTCTACGGGAATCTATGCTTTGGTGAATCTGCTGACCACTGTCCATCACCTTAACATTAATTGATTTTAGTCTCCAGAAACCCATTTGTGAGCTAAGGATGCAGCTCAGTGACAGAGCACTTGCCTAGCATACACGAGGCCAGGGGTTCCATCCCCAGCACTGCAAGGGTAAAAAAGACAAAGAAACTTGTCTGCAAAATGCCATACAGAAGCTGGAAGGAGAGTCGTGTGTCCTTGTCTGATCATCTTGCCCCTCCATTCTCCTGAAACTGCCTGACCCTTGGTTCAGGCCCTGTTCTTGCTATATTCAGGCACCCAGAAGAAAAATTGGAGACTGCCCACAGGTTTCTTTTCCACATTGCCCAGCCCACCCACTCAGCTCCCTCCCAAGCCCTCTTTAACTCAGAACTGCTGGATTTCCCAGAGGCGGCCTCCACCAGCAGGCCCTGGAGAGCTCACCCTCCCCACACCTGGCATGATCCAACTTTCTAGTCTTTGCGGGTCTAATAGATGTCATGTGATATCTTGTTGCTATAATTTGCATTTCTGTGCCTTGCAGTCAGCTGTTTGAATCTTTTTTAGCTTTTGGTTCCATTTCCTTAGCATCCTGGCCCTCGTGGCTTCCATCTCAAGCCAGGCAACAGCCTTCACTCTGTGGCCGCCTCCTGTTCCCCTCAAACTTTGGCGGGCCACCTGCCTGAAACACAGGCAGGAGCATGTCCCTCCTCTGCATAAACTGCCTGCAGCATCCTTACTAAATATGAGGCTCCTCTGTTCTCCCCAGTCTTGCTCCTCCTCCTCCACTTTCCCCCACTGAGTGCCCTGCTCTACAGTCCCACAGCCCTGACCTCCCCACTTGCAGGTCTATAGTCCTCGGCTCCCATTCTCTCTGCACATGTCACCTGTGCACCCCGTCTTGCTCCCCTCAAGGCCCACTATTGGCCAGCCTTCCCTGAGGCTCTTGTCGTCTGAGGTGTGTACTCTTCTGAACCCCCTAGCGTTTGCCAAGGCTCACTTCTTTCCTCTTTGTGCTTTGTGTTCTGTTCTCATCACACCTTCTTCTTCTTCTTCTTCTTTTTTTAATCCAGGGCCTCACACATGCTAGGCAAGCTCTCCACCACTGAGATACATCCCCAGCTCTTTTTATTTTGTTAATTCGCCCAGGCTGGTCTTAAACTTGCAAGCTTCCTCCTCAGCCTCCTGAGAAGCTGGGTTACAGGTACGCGCCTCCATGCCCTGCTGTCCTCTGCCTTCTTGGCTGATCTCTGCCCCAGTGGTAGGCCGCTGGGGGACTGGCTGATTCATTGCTCCCCATACCCCCAAGGCTTTCCATGCTGCAGCTGGGAAACTAGGAAGGAAGACAAGGAGACAGAGTCTGGGGATGGGGAAAGAGAAATGGAAGCCAAAGCTGGACATTCATTAACTAACTGGCCACAAGGATAAGGAGGGGAAAAGATTGGAGGATACCTCCAGCTCCTTAGGTTTGCCAGTTTGCTGGACGGAAACCCAGGAGGAGCTGGGGATAGAGCTTGGTTTAGACCAGCATGTGGCTGCTAAGCAGGCAGAGGCCAGTGTGCCGCCGAGGTGAGCTGAGCCCAAAGAGGAGTTTGGGGGGTCATCCATGTGGAGGGGGCCCTCAATTGGGATTATTGGGGAGGCAGAAATATAGGACCCCTAAAAAGGCTGTTGTGTAGGTGGCGGGTGAGGAACATGAAAATAAGGTGGGGTGGGTCAGCAGTAGTGTCTCCAAACCCCAGGGAGAGCCACGTGCGGTGGCACATGCCCGGAATCCCAGTGACTCGGGGAGCTGAGGCAGAGGATTGCGAATTCAAGGTCAGCTTTAGAAATTTTGTGAGATCCTGCGTCAGAATGACAGATGAAAAGACCTAGAAATATAGGTCAGTGGGTAAAGCACTCCTTGGTTAAATCCCCAGTACAGGAAGGAAGGAAGGGCGGGAGGGAGGGAGGGAGGAAAGAAAAAAAGTAGAAAGAGGGAAAGAACCAAGGGACAACAATTCCAGGGAATGAGCAACCCAGACAGTCAGATGCTGTGAGAAAACCAGGTGGCCAAAGCGGCCCCGCAGCCCACCCGGCTCACCTGTCCCTGCCCTGTCCTTCCCTCCACTCTGTCCTGCATCCTCACAGAGTGGCCCTCTGTGTGTTTATCCAGCAAAGACACCTTTGCCCTCTGGGACTTCCTGTCATGAGAGCCACCAGCTGGCCTTGACCTTCCCAGGGCACTCTTTCATCTCGACTTCCCCTTGCCACAGGAGGGCGCTGATGACACGATGCCCCAGCACGAAGCCAGGCCCTGCCTCCCTGGCCCCCCCACTTCTGTCATTTCCTTTGTCATCTCTGTATCCATTTAAAACAAAATTCCAAGGTGAGACATTGAAACCAACATGTGGGTTTTGAGCTGGATGGGTCCCTGGAGCAATGGTGGCCGCTCCTTGGGGCTGGAGAGAGGGGTGGGGAGAGGGGGTGGGACTGAGTCATAGCAAACCACTGGAGCCGGGGAGGTTTATTCTCCAGACCCTGGCACAGCTTTCAAGGGTGCTTTGAAAGGAATAAGGATGGCCTTGTCGGTCCACAGACTCCGAGAAGGGATGATGGGGGAAGGAGAGGAGGAGGACAAACTGGGGGGAACAGGCCTGACTCCACCTCCGCCACCTTGGAGATGTGACCATGTCCCTTGCAGCAGAAAAGCCAAAGCTTTGGAGACCCAGCTTCTGTCTACCCTTGCCCCTTGCCCGGTCAGGCCCCAGAAGCTACTGTCCAGATTCTTAGATCCAACTGCTCTATAGCTAGGGCCCCACTGCCTGAGCCTCAATAGACACAGTGACTCTCACAGAGCCGCAGCTGGACTTCAAGTCCCACTCCTGACTGGCATTGTATTTCATCGCCAGGAAGCCTGAGCCCTGCCTAGGAGACAGCTGGATGTTCAACCAGCGACACTGGGCCTTGTCACAGGCCAGCACAACAGTGCCCTCGGGGTTGCTATAGGTGCACCTCCTCCAGACTGCCCTTCCCTCCACTGCCAGATCCCATATGTCCCCTAGCTCCCTGTCATCTATCCCGTGGACCTGGAAGCCCAAACGGTCCCGGGTGACAGGACACACCAGCTGTTCTTCCTTCAAAGAGAGTACTGACTGCCCCTTGAGGTAGGCGGGGCCCCCACAGTAGGTGTTGATGTGGAAGAGATGGTCGCTGTACTGGAGCAGCCAGGTAAAGAGGTAGGTCAGGTGACAGTCACATTGCCAGGGGTTGCTGTGCAGGGCCAGGTTGAACAGGTTGTAGTTGGTGTCAAAGATGCCCCCCGGGAGTGTGGTCAGCTGGTTCCTGGAGAGGCTGAGCAGCTCCAGCCTGGACAGGTTCTGGAAGAGGGCTGGGTGCAAGACCGTCAGGTTGTTGCTGCCCAGGTAGAGCTTACCCAACTCCTTGAGGTCCCAGAAGACACCCGCGGGGAGGTGGGTGATAGCGTTGTGAGAGAGCGTCAGGGACACAAGGCTAGACAGGTTGGCCAAGGTGCCTTCAGTGATAGTCTCCAGCTGGTTGTGGGACAGGGACAGTCCCACCAGGCCTGGGTTGTAGGCAAAGAGACCCACAGGCAGCATCCGCAGCTCATTGCCCTGCAGGTTCAGAAAGGTCAGATTCCCCAGAGAGGAGAAGACAGAGGGTGGCAGGTGACGGATGGCGTTGTGCTGCAGCCACAGCTTCTGCAGGCAGAAGAGCCCCGAGAAGATGTTTGGGGACAGTTCCCTGATGGCATTGCCATCCAAGAAGAGCTCCTGCAGTCTGCACAGATTGCCAAACACACCCTCAGGGAGCCTCGAGAGCATGTTGTTGCTCAGCTTCAGGGTCTGCAGGTTGCTGAGCCTGCAGAACAGCCCCCCGGGGAGGTGGGCCAGGCGGTTCTGAGCCAGGTCCAGGGTGTTCAGACGCGTCAGAGGCTGGAAGAGCCTCCAAGGCAGAGTCTGAAATCGGTTCCCCTGAAGCTGGAGGGACTCCAGGGCATCCATGTGGTGAAAGAGGCCCTCGGGCAGAGTCTCCAGCATGTTGAAGTTCAGGGTGAACTTGCCCAGGGAGGTCAAGTTGGAGAAGATGTCGGCACTGAGGTTGGAGAAGGCGCTGCCCGTGATCTCCAGGTCCTCCAGCCTTGGCAGCCCCCCAAAAGCATCTGGCCCAAAGTGATGGAGCTGAGTGTTGAGGAAGACCACTTTGGTCAGATTGGGGCTCCTGCTGAAGGCCCTGGTTCCCACTGTAGTGAATGAGGTCTCCACAAAGACGATGTCCGTGGCGTGTGGTGGGATGTCCAGCGGGATGGCGGCCAGCCCTTCATCTGAGCAGAACACCTCCCGGATGAAGCAGTCGCAGCCCACTGGGCAGGGCTGGGTGGGTCTGGCCAGGAGCAGGAGGGAAGCCCAGCACAGCCAGGCTCCAGGGAGCATCTTCCAGATCCGAGGAGGGAGAGAAAACAGAAGGGACACCTTTATCAAGGGCAGCATGGCACAGTGTCCAGAGCACTGGACAGTGACCCTAGAAACAGGAATGGATCGTGAGGGAGGATTAGCCTCACTGGGAAAGCCACAGTTGTGGTAACAGGGTTTTCTTATTTGGGTTTGTTTTGTTTCTTGTAGTGCTAAGAATCCAACCCAGGGCATCATGCATGCTGGGCGGTACCCCACCCTAAGCCACACCCAAGCCCCTATTCATAGTTTTAGCACCCAGAGCAGCCTTGCAAGATAGGTGGGGTGGGGTCTCATCTCCTGAAGATGAAGGTCTCAGACGGCCTGACAGGTCACACCTGCAGGTTAGTGCCCACAGCAGAACCAACATCCAAGTTTTGCGAACATTCCATGTTCTCTCCAGATTGGAGAAAGGAGGAAAGGAGAGAAAAAGACAGAGGAAAGATGAGTAAAAGGAGACCATGGGTAGTGCAGAATTTTTCAAGATACTATGTAAACTATGGGAAGATGCAGCCATAAAGAAGAATGAAATTATGGCACTTGCTGGTAAATGGATAGGACTAGAGACTATCGTGCTAACACGCGAAGTGAAATAAGCCAATCCCAAAAAACCAAAGGCTGAATGTTCTCTCTGATCAATGGAGGTGGGGACATGACAGGGGAAAATGAGGGGATAGGAGGGGGGATGGGAATGGGAAAGACAGTGGAATGAACCAGAACTTTACTATGTTCATATATGAATATACGACGAGTGTAACTCCACATCATGTATAACCACAAGAATGGGAAGTTATACTCCATGTATGTATGATATGTCAAAATACATTCTGCTGTCGTGTACAACTAAAAAGAACAAATAAAACAATATATGGGAAGATTGTCGCTGTGTTGGGAATTTCCAAATGTAACTCTTCCAGGCCTGATGGTGAGGATACCCTTCCACCTGCTCTCTGCCATCCGCAGAGGGTGTGTACAGTGCCACACAGCAGCTCCTCAGCACTGCCATCAACTGCTCTCCTCAACCTCACCATGTCCCTCCCCACCTCACCATGATGGAGCCCAGGAACTTTCCAGTGTTGTGTGGACAGGAGGGTCCCAGACTTGGGAATTCCACAAACCAGTAGACCAAGGGGTCCAAGCTTCCAGTGTGCTAACTATTAATCAAAAGCAAAACAAAGAAAAACCTGCCAGTACCTACTGACGCATCACAAATAGGTGACGAAGCTTACAAGTGCATTGTGTTTATTCCTCTGTGGTCATTTTTATTTATTAATCAGTAGCTCGCACATGAAAGACTAGGAAATGTCAGATCAAAAGTCCACATTTTAGGATGATCTGGGGGCTCACATTTCCACCTGGCAAGAATAACCAGGGCTCAATGCCCCAGCCCCATTAGGGACTCTGTGTTCTCCAGGCCATGACCCTGCTCACGTCACTCATGTAGAGGTTTGTAGTGAGTTCGAATCCCTAGCCATGTGACCTTGGGTATGTTACTTCCCCGTCTGTGCTTCAACTTCCTTATATCTAAGAAGTAGGTAATAGTAGTGTGTTAGGATAATTGGGAGGATTAAATGAGCAAGTATAAATAAAGGTTTTAGATGAGGGTCTGACAGTGCAAGAGATTAGTAACTATGTAACTATGTTAACTAGTATTAAAGTAAATTATTAACTATTATTATTAGAACTATTATTAGTAACTATGTTAACTATTGTTAAAGCTTGCAAGCCACAATCATTACAGAAAAGGCAATGTGAACAAAAAAGTAGAAAAATACAAAATATTCTAGATAGAATACATTTGGCCTTATCAAAATAAATTGTTTTAAAGAAAGAAAAGCCTCTTGCAGCATGACCCTAATTTTTCTCTTTACCTCTCCTCAACTGGAATTTACCCTGGTCCCCTGGAGGCCATCCCCTGGCAAGAGCAGCTGGCTGTCTCTCTGCTGCCCTCTGCTGGCTGCCTCCGCCACCTCAAGCTTCAGCTGTGAAAGGCTGTTCCCAAGGTCTTCCTGCACACAGAGCACTTAGAAAGGCCAGTGTACTTAGCCTCATCCATTCAGACACTCAGTGACTCTCGGTTTTCCCAGAAATGTTCTTTCTAGCCTGTAGAGAAGGGAAAGTGTCTCCCTGAGAAAACGCATTCCTCTCTCAGGCACCTTTGCTTAAACTCCAGGCGGTGGCATTAGAAGGGACTCCTGCAATGGCAATTGGAGACACATGAAGGAAAGGAAGGACCTCAGGCCAGTGTGTGTCCCCTGGGCCAGCAGTTACAGAGCTCAGTTTTTGAAGGAGACTGCTCTCAGGAGACCATGCGCATAGAAACCTAAATGCAGCGGACTTTGGCTTCGGCAGAATGGCGTCCTGTGCATGTCACATACCTGGGCCGCCCCTGTGGACAAAATACCCAGGGACTCTGAAAGACCAATCATGGCTGTCCTTTCTGTGTGAAGATGAGTGTGTTCATCATCTCTCTATGCCTGGCATCCAGGGCACAAGTGACTTCCTGTTGGCTCAGTCAGTGTTTGCTGAATGGAACTTCCTAGACAGGGATGAGCAGCTTGGGAGGCGCAGGGTCCTTCCCTGGAATGCTGCTGCACAGACCCATGAAGCACCAGTCAGGACAGGATCACAGCCTGGAATCTGCCCAACAATAAGAAACCAGCAATTCTTACTGTTAATGTGCCATGATGGTATCCAGGGACCAGTCACTCTTGCTGGCTTACCCCTTGGATTTTTGGTTCTCCAAGGCAGTTTCTGGAATAAACTCCCCCAGTATGAAGGGCCATCCAACACTAGGATTCGAGAGCCCTGCAGACTGTCAGGCCAGCCTCCTCTCAGGACAGGGAGGCAGGCCCGGGGTGTCTGCAGCCGGGCCGGGTGGCACAACCCAGATCTCCTGTGTTCCCACTTGCTTCTGCCAGGAACACTGTGGCCGAAGTGGGAGGAGCACCATGAGGAGAACCGAGCCTGCTGCAGCATGTGCCTCCCAACTGAGCCCGCCCCAGACTGTGTCCTCTCTCCCTTTGCCTGGGCCTCTTGAATCCTGTCACCTGGAAATAATACATTTTAGAAGTTCCCAGAAAAGGCAGTTGCTTCATTTCAGGCCTTGAAGCAAGACCATGAGACTTGTGGCACAAAAAACCATCTCCAGCAATGGCGGGAGGGATCTGTTGAGAGGGTGGCCGAGCCAAGGGCTTCTTCCCACCTGCCAGTTCCCAAAGCTGCCACATGCATCTTGATCCTCAGAGCAAATCTAGAAGTACCTAGGACAGGGAAATGGAGACTCTCATGCACACACTCAGAAGCAAGGGGCAGGATCAGTTCTGAGGTCTGTGCTCAAAGTAGGGTGTTGCTGTGACCCCACCGGCTTCTGTGCCAAGATTGAGGAATGGCTGGGATGGGCAGGCCTGCTCCTCACATTTGCAGGCCCCAGGGTGAATGCATATCAGGGAACCCCACCCACGGTCTATGTCTTTCTCTTCTCACCTGAGTCTCTGGTATTGAGACCCCATCCATAGCTACTCCAAGGGACCACAGGCCAAGGTGTGCTCTTCTGTGGCAAGATCACCCTGGAGAACATGGACCTGGTCCTGGGTAGTTGAAACATGGTTCAAGATGGGAACCCAGCCTCCAGTCAGCATGTGCCCCTTGGTCTTGACATCTTCTAAACCCTTAGGGATCTTTTAGGAACAGGAAGGCCAGAACAGGGTCTTTTAAGGTTCAAGGCAAGACTCCTCTTGCCCTAGCCAACAGGGATGGAGTGGGGATGCAGGGAAGGATACTAGCAATAAGGGTGCAGAACACCAATAATTTCCAAATGATCCACTCCTGGCCCAAGACTCATTCTTGCATTGCTCTGGATTTACTAAGAGTTTGTACTCTGAAGTCAAACAATCTGGACTCAAGTCCTATATCCATCCTTAATAAACTGTGTGATCTTAGCTGAATTACTTAACCTCTCTGTGTTTCCGTTTCCTCACCTCCAAAACCACCAACACAATACTACCTTCCCTGTGGGGTTGTTGTGAGGATTAAGTGAGAGAATACATAGAAAACTCCATTCCCAGAGCCTGGCTGATTCGGAGTATTTAGCCATGCTAAATGCATCTCCATCCTCAGAGCAAATCTGATTCTCCTGAATTTAGCCAGCCTTAGTTTTCTTCCGAAGTAGTCATGGAGATTAGCTCTGGAAAAACCGATGAGATCATCCAACCGCCCCACTCTGGACTGGAGAGATGCTTCTCAACAGCACTTTTTCTAGCCTCGTCCTCTCTGGCCAAGTGAAAGTGCATTTTTGTCCTTGTTTTAAAGGAACAGACTCAGGCCCTTCCCAGCCCACCCTCAAGAGAGCAGGTCACTGGGGAGCTCCGGAGATGGGAAGCACCCCACCAAAGGATGGTGGAGATGGACACCAGAGGGCCACCATGGGGAGGCAGCCAGAAGGTTGCTGGTTTTCATCTGGGAATAAGACCAGCACATGTCCCCAAAAATGCTCCACACTCAGCAAGCCAAGGAAGTCTGGCCTAATCCATGATTTTACATTTTTATTATTTATTTTTATTTTTTTGGTTGACTGGGTGCAAATGAACTCCTTCCTCTTCTCAAATTGCCCTTGGGTTGGTACATTTCTGTGTGCGTTGCAAGCCAATCTGTCATCCACCACAGAGCTAAGCCTCACTCCTTCCAGAGGGTGACGGGAGCCCAGAACCCTGGCCCAGGTCCCCAGACTGCGTCAGTACATGCTGGATTCTACACTCAGGCTGCCACACATCTGGAAGCAGGAAAAGTGGCTTCTGAAGCACATGGAAACCTTATCCGTTTCCCCAAGGAAGATCTGCTGCTCCCAGACCTGGTCTCCTTCCCTCTCAACCCAACGAAGTCAGTCAAGGGGCTGAGGCGGCAGACTGGGGCTGGTTCCAGCCTGGGCTCCTATCCTGCTGGCCACACACACCTGCCCAGGTGTGACCCTCTAAGCCCCTGCTTTCACATTTGTAAATCGAGAGCGACCATGACAACGCCAATCAGGACACCTACAGTCTAGCATTATTAGGGCCAGTGTGGCACTGAAATGAGACAGCAGGCACCAGACTATCAAAAAAATAAAAATAAAAAGAGCTGGGCTTGATGGCTCACGCCTGTAATCCCAGTGCTTGGGAGGCTGAGGCAGAAGGATGGAGAGTTTGAGGACAGCCTCAGCAACTTAGTGAGGCCCTTAAGCCTAAGCAACTTAGCGAGATCCTGTCTCAAAATGAAAACAATAAAAATAGATAAATAAAAGAGACTGAGAAGCTGGGCACTGTGGCGCAAACCTGTAATCCTAGCAGCTCCGGAGCCTGAGGCAGGATGACCGCAAGTTCAAAGCCAGCCTCAGCAACTTAACAAGGCCCTAAGCAACTCAACGAGACCCTGTCTCTAATAAAATATAAGAAAGGGCTGGGAATGTGTCTCAGAGGTTAAGCACCCTGGGTTCAATCCCAAATACCAAATAAATAAAGATACAGCCTAAATGTGCAACCTGAGGGCTTGGTTAGGTAAATTATGCTACACAGATGTAGTACAAATCTTCTCTGCTATCTTTAAAATTATAGATATGTGTTTAGTAATGTTTGCACTTTTTAAAATGAAATCTATGTAGAATCCCAAAATGCTACATTACCATTTTTAAGGTATATCCGTGCACTGAAAACAGATTATACACAAAATATTTGTAGTGGTTATTTCTGAAAAATACAATTGTGGGTGACTTTTTTTTCTTTTGGTTAAAAATGTATGCTCTACATTTTGAAATGATAAACATGTATAACTTTGGTAATAACGGGGAAGTTATTCTGTTGTAAAAATGGAGATAGTCGGGTTAAAAAGGAGGCAGAACTCCCAGTCCCCTCCAGAAGGCTGAACTGGGTCACACTGGCTCACTGTGCACACACAAATGTGCCACCCCAAGTGCCCAACAGGGGCTTCCTGGAGCTCTGTACCTGTTGGCGTAGCATTGCGAGGCTCAGGGGAGTTTGTCTATGTGCCGCGTAGGTGTTCTAGGAGAGGAGGCAGCCAGAATTTTGAAACAAGAGGAGGTCATGAATTGGGTGCCATCACTCTCCCACCCCAGTCCCCAACTCCAGGTCCCACTGACATTGTGGAGCACCTGTGCTTGCCTTTTCTTATTGCCACTTTTTTTTTGGTAGTGGGGTTGAACCCAGGGGCACTACACTACTGAGTCACATCCTCAGCCCTTTTTTGTATTTTTGATTTAGAGACAGGGCCTTGCTGAATTGCTGGGTCTGGCTTTGAACTCTTGATCCTCCTGACTCAGTCTCCCAAACCGCTGGGATTACTGGCGTGCACCACCATGCCCAGCTCCTACTGCTACCTTGATCCATCCTACCCACCCTCCTAAGGCCGCACATGTCCCACTTCCCCACTTCCTTGACTGCCCCTCCTTTGGATCCTTGGGTCTCTCATCCTCTGTTGAAGGCTTGGGTCTTTCTGCTCTGCATTCAAATCAGTTACACCCACTTCATTGAACTCGGCGGGGAGGTGGGCCAGGGTTCAATGCTCTGCACTCATTACCTGGCCTGGGGCTGGCAGAGAGATGGCACTGCTCTCTGGGATCCCCTAACTTCAGGCCATGCTCTGCATCCTGCTTAGTGGAGTAGGAAAGCACTCTGGCTCTGCCAGGGCAGAGACAGACCTGGGTTCAAAGTCTGTCTCTACACTAGCTACTAGCCATGTGGGCTTTGTCCGCTCACTCCATCCCTCCAAGACTCAATTCCTCATCCATGATTGTAGCCCTCAGGGTCACGGTGGTACTCAATTAAACAGTAAGAATAAAGCCCTGGACACTAGCAGACATCCAATAAAAAGCAGCTGTGTGCAGGTTTCAGTCCTAGGTGACAATAAACTTTATCATCTAAACCTGGACACTTATGGGAATGAAGAGGGACCTAGCAATAATTATGCCAGGTAACAGGTCTAGACAAGGGCAGATCCAGCCATGGATCACCCTGATGATTGCCACTTAGTCAGGGACCAGGTGGTCATCTCCGAAGCCCCTGCCCAGGCCTCCTCCTGCCTCCTTCCAGCCCTAGAGAGCCAAGCCCCTCGTTGCAGCTCCTCCCACAGGAGGGGAACCCGGGTACTGCAGCCTGCTGGAGATAGAAAATGCTCCCAAACGGGGAAGAGAGGCAAGCCTCTCTCCTGCCCCCGAGCCAGGACTCCAGGCCAGATGCCCCCACCACCCACAGACCCAGGCGTGGCCCCGGGAGCCCTACCATGAAGACTGAGCAGGTGGGACAGGCAGCCCTGGATCTTCCTCCAGAGCAGAGGGGCGTCTGGTACAGCCTGCCCCAGCCTTGATCAAAGTTCTGGACAGTGGTTCCTCCCCTCACGTGACCTGTTCTGGGAATGTCATCAGGGTCACAGGGCAGAGAGAGAACCTGGGCAAGGCCACTAAAGATTACAAAATGACCCTAAGCTGCTCCCATACACAGGTGCCTGGTGGGGCCAAAATCCTTCTAAAGTGGCAGGCTGGGCGCCTTTGGGACCCAAGGCATCCACCAGCCCTGGAAGGCACCCAGCAGCGGCACTGAGGTGAGGGCTCCACCCAGGGTCCACTTCCCCTGGCCACAGGTCCCTCCTCCACTCTGTACACGGCCACTGGAGAACTAAGAGGGTTGTGTGTGTGTTGGTCTGTTTGCTGATTTGTTTGTTTAATGAACTAACTTTCTGAACCCTTTCTTAGTTAAAAGGGGGGAAAACTATAGGAAGTGAATTTCTGGCCCCGTATAAAGTGGAACACATCCCCACTCAGGCTCTCGAAGGATGTTAGCCTCAGCTTTGGGAGGGAGTGATTTTCCCGCCTCTGGAGGTGTCCAACCGTGGAGTCAGTTGAAGACTGTGTGGAGAGTATACAAGTGCAAGTCAGAGTGTGCAAGGGAAGGAATGTGTGTGTCTACGCATGCATGATGAAAATGTGTGAGAGTAACTGTTCCTGAGAGTGGGTGGAGGGTGTGGTGAGAGTGTATGTGTGCCCAGGAGTGTTCATATGATTTCAGGGGTGCAGCCCGAAGCAAGCAATCGAAGATCATTTGCAATGCCAGGAGTCTTCCATTCAAAGTAGTCTGATGGCTTTTTTTTTTTAACTTGTTGCATGGTATTAATATTCTGCTCATTCTTTTTACCAGGACAAAATAATATTTCTTTTGCACGTGAGCACACTACCTCAGCGGCGCTACAAAGATCCAACAGATTGTACCAAGGAAGCGTTTTTTCAATAGAGACAGGTTACAAATCCACACTTGGCAGAGGAATGCAGGTGTTTCTGAGAGGGACAGAGGCAGTGGACAGAGTGGACCCAGCCCCACTCTGGATGGCACCTCGGCTGGCAAGAGCAGGGTGTCAGCTTCCAGGAGGGGATGGGGAGGAAGAGGCACCTCTGGGGAGCCTCCCTCTCAGGTGAGAGAATGGACCTTTGTCTGAGCAGGCTCTCAGGGCATCCACACCCCCAGAAACACAGCTAGTCCATTCGTCAACATGTTGTGGTGAACAAGAGAAATTGGGCATTAGAGAGATCAGGGTTTGAATTCTGACTCTTCAACTAACTAACCATTTGTAGGGGTTTTTTTGTTTTGTTTTTTTGTATTGGGGATTAAAGCCAGGGGCACTCAACCACTGAGCCACATCCCCAGCCCATTTGTTTTTTATTTTGAGACACAGTCTCACTAAGTTACTTAGGATTTCACTAAATTGCTGAGTCTGGCTTTGAACTTGTGATCCTCCTACCTCAGCCTCCCAAGCTGCTGGGATTACAGGCATGTGCCACCGCGCCCAGCATAACTAGCCAGTTCCTAGACCATGATTTACTCAAGATTTACCATAAGTCCCTGCATTCTCTTCTGTGGGATAGGTATGGCTGAGGGCTCAGGGAGCTCTGTGTGTGTGTGTGTGCGTGTGTGTGCACATCCACCGTGTGTGCACATGTAATCAAACTTCAGGTAATGGGCGTGTGGGTCATGCGTGGAGGGAGATTTGCATTAAGACCTCCAGAGATCTTCCATGAGATTAGGGATGAAGACTCTATTTATCTCATATTTCAGAAACCTGTCGGAGTAGACAGAGATTCAGTGGTCAGGGGAGCACAGCAAAGCCCTGTCCTTCATTCCTGAAGGGGTCCAGCCACATAATCTGATGAACATTATTGACCTCTGTCCTGTCCCAAATTCCTGGGACAAGCTGACACCTGACAGGAATGTAAGCGAACACATGACAATCCCATGTGAAGGCCCTTTCCTGAGATGACGGTGTGTTAAGGAACAGTGGGCTCATCCCTGTTAGCATTGCTGTTCCTACACCAGCAGCTGTGGCACCCCTGGGACTAGAGGCCTGAGGGAGGCCTGGGGACATTTAGATACTTGAAGCGATCGCCTTCACTCCGAGGGCATATTCTGAGAGCCTGTGACTTGCTGAGCCTGGTGCTGAGTCCTGACGGGAGCTCAGTCCTGCCCTCCTGCCCTGCACGTGTGAATATGTTGAGCAACATGCGCTCCGGGTGGCACAGAAGAAACTGGAAGCCCGGGTCTCTTGCTCGCTCAACCCCTAGTTCACCAGGTGACTCTGGGAAATTATTTCCTGTCTTAAGTTCGTGAAGCCTATGGAGATGATTTGTTATTTCCTTTTTGGTCCCCATTCACTTTCCAAAGTCCTGTTCTTGGAATCTATTTTCTGTGAGGTGTTATCCAGGCCAGGCTTGATCTCTGTGGCAAGAGCAGACTTCACAGGTGTGAGACCCGCCCCCACCACCACCAAGAAGTTCAGAGAGGGCACACATGTCCTGGGTATACCATTTATTGTTGATTCTGTACACCAAATTTGTTACAAGCAGCATCTAGCAAAAGACAGACCCCTAACCCTGCCCACCAGGGTTCACACTCTATAAAACCCTGGGGGCCTAGAAATCGCTACATGCACTGCCAAGCACCTGGGACTATTTGCAGTGATTCTCTTAGCAAGGCAAAGGTGATCTATTTTTGCAGGCAGCATGAAAGCAATGGGTGGTGAGAACCATCTCTCCATAGAAGAAGGAACCCAGGATCGGGAGGAGTTCCACCTGGCAGCAGCCTGCCGCACACCCTCTCTCAGCCACAGTGGTGGCTTCCTTCACAAGACCGCCACAGCCTCCCCCAACAAACTGGGTTAGGTTCTGGCCACAGGATCAGCCGTGGGCCAAATTTGAGTAGCTTATAGCTAAAGGGTGGGATATACCCCACCTCTGCCCCCACCTCCAGTCATCTAGTGACTTGCTAGCTGTCTGCTCTCCATACATTTCCTGAGCTTGGGAGTAGATTCCTGGATCAGCTCTACCCTGACATCTGAAGTATGGGAATCGTGTGGTTGCCCATGAGAAGATCTAGAACCTCTACATTCTCAAGAGAAAGAACGCTATCCACACAGACCAATAATTCTAAGGACAGGGGCCAGTTTTTCTTTCATGGCTGAACAAGTTTCCTGTATTTACAAAGTTGGGATCCATACAGTGCCAGGTGAGGTCCCAGTGACTTAAGAGTATGAGGAGCACCAGGACGGGGACTCCCATTTGCTTTGTTCTCATGGTGAAAACCCTAGTCAGAGCATGAGGTCTTGTGTAAAGGCTGAAGACAGAAGTAAACCCCCAGCCTACTGAGAACCTGTTGTGACGGTCTTCTGCCCTGTCCCAAGGGGGCACTGGGAGGGTTAAAGGGGAATGTGTCCAGAGCTTTGGAGGACACTTGTGCACAGTAAGCACTTCTTAAAATGGTCCTTTCCTCCAACATTGATTCCTTCCTTCCGTGTCACATGAAGGCTGCTGGTGAACGGCAAGGTGGCCTAGAAACCAGTGCACAGAGGAGAAGTGAAGGGAATTCTGTACCCTACCCAACATTTCAGGGACCACTCAGCTCACTCCAGTCCCAAGAATTGAGCAAATACATCATTCAATAGTGCCGTATTGAAAAGGGCACTCCATTCAGCTTTTGGGGCCACTCCTTGACCAAACAGCACAGTTCAGAGAGGCCAAAAGTCCTGACAAGGAACAACAGGGCTGATGGCTCCAAACCATTCTGATGGGAGAAAGGAACAGGCAAGCTGGGAAGGGTCATCTAACAGGCCCATCCCCTTCACCTGGGATCCACCTGGGTGGGTCGTCTGAAGACACCTGTTCTCAGACCAGTATTTTGAGCCAGAAAGGAAGGTATTCCAATGTCATGGCCAATGTCAGAAACACCCAGGAGTTCTGGGTTAAGGCTGGTAGGGAGCATGGAATGCTGAGGGTTCCTACCTCTCTCTATCCCTAGCCACTTGTTCCTAAGCACAATGAAACACTGGAGCTCACTCACAAGAAGCACCTGAGTGTTCTGGGTCTGAGGAATGTGATACCAAACCAGGCTTCCTGTCTGGAGGAAAGCAGACCCACATTCCCTTTCCAGCCCCTGGGCCCACGCGGCAGGCCACCGTCAATCATGCCTCAAGCTTGGGGCTCCCTTCCTTTTGGGTCCTGGTGAGCCTTACTTAATACACATGCACTCATTCTGTTAATATTTTGAAAACATTTGTAGACCCAGATTTGCCTTGGGGAAATAATATCTTTTGCCTGGATATCAGATTCTCTGGGACAGTTAAAAGCTACGACATGCACTAGACATTCCTTCTGAGACATTGTGTTGGGGGGCCTGGCCATCCTGTCATCATGATGCTGCTGAGGCTTCTTACTCATCTTGTGAGGTAGAGGGACCTAATAAAAGCCAATCAGGATTGGTGGTAGGTCTCAGGGATCTACATCCCTGAGATCAACTGAAGTTCTTTCTTGGGCAGATATGGAGACCTGAAATTCTTCAATTTTACAGCTTTTATTTCTGAACTGGTGGATCAGATGTCCAGAGAAAGACATGTGTTGCCTTGAACATAATTTCTTTAACATCTGTGAATATGTGTGTAGCAAGAAAGGCATGAAAGCAGGAATTCAACTATAACTCAAGGAAGAGAAAACCCTGGATCAAATGACTTAACTCATAACCAGATGATAAGTAGGAGGAACTTCAGAGAGCCACTCCAACCACTGGGACCTGTCAGTGTATCTTGATATCTGCTGTCTGTGAAAATCCTAAGTCTTGCTGCTAGCTGACTAATGTTGACGAAGAATTTTTCCACAACATTAGAGGGATCCCTGGTTCCCATTACACTTGAATGTTCAATTAAAAGATCTCATCTCTGAGCTATTTCATTTCCCCCAAATGGAAAGTGAATTAAAAACAGATATAGGCATATCATGCCCATAAAAGGGGCCAGACAAGGAACCTCCAATGACCTGCAGCTTATCAGCAGGGAAGACACTGTGGTTGCATGGGCCACTGTAGTTAGGACACTTCTGACCTGGCAAGCCTGGGTCCCTCCAGATCTCAGGGTTTATTAAGATTCCTCTCCAGGCCAGTCTCCTGTGCTGTCCATATCACATCTTTGTCATCCTGGCAGCTGGGCCTTTGCAACAGCTGGCCATGGAGCTGGGGGCAGTGAGGCCCCTGGTAAGAATCCAGGTAAGTCCGTGTCATCTTCAGATGTCCCAGTCCTTCAGTAAAAGCTTGGGTTTGGGGATACTGGTGATGCTCTGTTCTTGATTTGACACTGATCACATGGATGTACATTATCACGCTCCCACTTTTCTGTACGTATATTATACTTCAATTTTAAAAAATCGAAAAGAAAACCCCTAGCCCCAGACACCAGGTTTCTTTCTCCACTCAGTACCAATAAGCTGATTTTACAAATTAAATGGTTTTAGAAGTCAAAAATTCTTCACGATTTTATTCCACAAAGGACTAAAAATTGCCAAGCAAACTTTGTAGTTTGGAATTATCATCCTCTACAAGGCTGAGTTTGTTGCACGTGTGTCTTTCTTTTCTAGACAAAAATCACAAGAGAGATCCGATGGTAAATGTATGTCCAGGAATTGAGCAGTATGGGATTCGTTCTTTCTTTCACAACATCCTCCAAGCCGGGGGGTCTGCAGGTCTTAAGAAACCAGCTAAATGATTTGAAGCCTTCTTTGAGGAGAGAACTCACCCTGCCTTCAGGATCAGAAAATTAAGGGGAGAACTTCCATCTGAGGGGACAGGGTTAAGCCATGGCACAAACAAGAGAAGCAAAAGAAGGGAAATCAACTTACATAATACTCTGAGGAGAGGGGCTGTCCTGGTGGAGAACTGTTCCCACAAAGTGAGCAGGTTTTCTCACCACTGAGTCTACAGAGGCCAGGAGGGGGCCTGGGTGCAGGGAAAGTTGTTCTTGAAGGAAAGGTGGTGAGGATTTGGGGGAAGGCCCCTCTGAGCGAAACCCAAGCATATGAATAGGAAATTTTCCAGGGGCTTTTCTACAGCCATGTGATCTCCCTGGTGGTAAGAATGTCCTGTGAGACCTGCTTCTCCACAGAAGAATCAGGCAGGTCAGGACAAGGTGGGGCAACTCTCTCTAAGGCCTGGAAAGAGCCCTGAGAGCCTGGCTCTGTGGACCCAAGGGTGGAGGCAGAATGCTCACATTCCTAGATGCTCCCGTCTCTCCTTTCCTGAGCCCTGCTCCAGCCTGCCTTCCTAACACTCATTGGGTGCCTTCATCTGCATCAGGACTGCTTGGCTTCTTTTCTTGCAGCAGCAGCAGCAGATGCAGGCAGCCAGGGAACAGGCCAGGGCAATAATGCCAATTACAATGGCGGCAATGGCCAACCCACTTTGGGGCTGGGTCATGCCCCAAGTATTGCGGTCATCTGTGGCCCCAATAGTGGTCAGATCAGTGTAGTCATCTACAGAGCTAGTGATCTCAGTTGTAGAGGAGGTGGATGTGGTGTCAGGATAGCTGGGTGTGTCAGGATAGCTGGGTGCGTCTGGGTACCGCGGAGCATCTGGGTACCGGGGTGCGTCTGGGTACCGTGGTGCGTCTGGGTACCGTGGTGTTTCTGGGTAGCTGGGGTAGCTGGGAACCTCAGGGATGGCTGGGGCCGGAACACTGGGGCCAGGGACATTGATGATGATGATGGATTGTCCTCGAACATTGGCTGGGCTGGAACACACTGGGAGAGTGTCTGTCCCTAACCTACCCTTGTTGATCAGGAGCCAATTGCGGAGCGGAAGGATGCTTGAGTCGCACCTCCAGGGGTTGTCATACAGCCGAAGCTCACACAGGTTCCCCAAGTGATCAAAGATGCCCATGGGCAGGTTCTCCAGCTGGTTGTTCTGCAACTGAATGGTCATGAGACCGTTGACATTGGCGAAGATATTCCCTGGGAGCTGTCGGAGGCGGTTGTTCTGCAGAGAGATGTTCTGCAGGTTGGCCAACATGCGGAAGACATTCCCATCCAGGTCCTGCAGGGCATTGGTGTGGAGGGACAGCTCTCGCAGGTCTGTCAGTCCATTGAAGGCACCCGGGGAGATGAAGCTAATCTGGTTTCGACTAAGGATCAAGACCTGCAACTGGTGGAGGTTGCTGAAGATGTTGTCGGGTAGAGAAGTGATGTGGTTGTCATAGAGCCAGAGCTCCTTCAGGTTGTGCATGGGCCCAAAAATCCCTGGGGAGAGCTCCTTCAGGGAGTTCCCAAAGAGTGTAAGTCGGTTGAGCTGGGGCAGGTGCATGAAGATGCCGGGAGGCAGCTGGGAGATGTGGTTGTTGGACAGATAGAGCCTCTGCAGGTTCCGGTTGTTGTGGAAGAGGCCAGGTGAGAGCATGCCGATCTGGTTCTGCTGGAGGGCCAGCTCCTGGAGGTTGCTAAGCCCATCAAAAGTGCCCATGGGGATGTCCGAGAGCCTATTCTCATATAGCCGGAGCACCTGGAGGTTGCCCAGGTGCTGGAAGACCCTGGGTGAGAGGTGGGTGAGGCTGTTCTTGCCCAGATTGAGCTTGGTGAGTCCCACCAGGTGGTCGAAGACGCCATCGGGGACGTATTCCAGGTGATTGCCATGCAGCTGCAATTCCTTGAGGTTGCTGCACTGGGAGAAATGGGCGGGCTGGATCTGCACCAGCTGGTTACTAGACAGAAGGAGAGACTCCAGGTTGTCCAGTCCCTGGAAGAGGCCGACGGGCAGAACCTGAAGCTTGTTGTTGGCGAGGCTGAGGTAGCGCAGCGAGCCCAGGTTGCGGAAGGCACCAGGCATGATGTGTGACAGCTCATTCTTCTCGATCCTCAGGGCAATGAGGGCCGAGATGTTGAGGAATGGGGACTCACTGAGTTCGGTGATGTGTGTGTTGAGAATCTGCAGGCTCATGGCATTCCAGGGCAGAGGCGTGGGCACTGCCACGATGCGTGCCCCCGTGCACTCCACCTGAGAGGCCCTGGAGCAGGTGCACTCACTCGGGCAGCCATAGTAGGCCAAGCCTACAGTCCAGGCTTGGCAGCCCACCAGCAAGAGGAGGTAATGTTTCAGCAGCATGGCCTCTGCAAGGAGACAGCACGTGTTAGTCAGGGTCACCTCACTGACACTGTGACTAGTTCTTTTCTTTGGGGGGGGGGTACTGGGGATTGAACTCATGGGCACTTGACCACTGAGCCACGTCTCCAGCCCTATTTTGTATTTTATTTGGAGACAGGGTCTCACTGAGTTGCTTTGTGCCTGGCCATTGATGAGGCTGGCTTTGAACTTGAGATCCTCCTGCTTCAGCCTCCCAAGCTGCTAGGATTACAGTTATGCACCACCTACCAGGCTTACTACAGCTTGTTTTAAGCCAACGCCAACCTTGATATCAGCAGTGGCTTGGCCTCAAGTGCTGTCTATCATCATGGACCCAGTTCAGTGCTCCCCTCTGCTCTGGTCAGCAAGCCTCTTGGCCTTCCCCCTGCCTCCCCACTTCCAAGCCTTTGCCCAGGAAGTGTCCCCCACTCAGAGTGCTCTTCATCCTCATCAAATCTCCCCCATGCTTCTAGGTGTAGCTCAAATGCCATCACTTTGAGGAAGCTTTCCCTGTACCATGAATCAGGATTCATTTCCCGCCCATGCAGGTGGTCTTCCCAACCTCCCCATGGACATTCCACAGCCGGACATTCACTGTGTTTCCAACTATCTCCTTCCCTCATTAATATGCTTTTCAAGGACAAGGGCCACATCTTTCATTCCTACACATTCCTTAAGGTGGGAACTGTATCTTATCCAGCTCTGTAGCCCTCATAGCAGCTAAAAGGATATTGGAACATGGCCTTGTCAGGAGGAACAGAGAAGAGATAGGAACAAATAAATAGGTCCTGAACCTGGGAAGATGCCCAGCCTATAAATGTGGTGGCCTGCCCGGAGGAGCAGTAGCAGCCAGCAGAGGGAGGACCACACTGCTGGTGTGCAGAAAGATGGAGGGAGAGCCGAGCTTTCCCCCCCTCCCCCGCTCTGCCTTGCCCCACCCAGCCCATCGCCACCACCAGCAACCTGTCCACATGTGTTTCATGGAGGTTTAATTCAAACCACCTTCCAGTGCAGAGCAACTGTCTGCAGCTGGGGAGGCTGCTGGACCCCAGCCGATGCCTGGGACCTGCCTCCTGGAACTTGAGTCCCAGTTCCCAGATGGCCTGAAGTAGGTTCCAGAAAACTTAGACACACTCAGAGAGGCCATCTGTGACCTCCGCCCAAGGTTTAAAGGGCCCTGTAACTCCTGAAGGGTTGAGGAGTGACTGCTGCTCTTCATTTTATGGGGAAGCAGGGAAACTGAGGATCAAGTATTAAATCCTAGGTGCCCCAACTCCTAGGTGAGTCCTTTGTTTATGCAGTCTCTCTCTCTCTCTCTCTCTCTCTCTCTCTCTCTCTCTCTCTCTCTCTCTTAATGAGCAAACATCAGCGTCAGAGGAAGGAATTGGAAAAGATGGCATATAAGGCATACACGGGCTGCGTGGAGAAGGCCCTTGTCCGGCTTCTTCCTGTGCCCCTGAACTCATGGGGGCCTGAGCCTGGAGCATAACTCAAAATAATGCAGGCTTCCTGCCCTGGCCTCTGCCCCACATGCTGCTTCCCGACCCTCAACAAGGCGTCTGAGGAAAACCCCAAGCTCATCCCCACCTATACAGGCTGAACTCTTCACTTATTCCCAGCCTGTCCAAGCCCTGACCTGTTACGATTTCATTAAGGATTTAGCTAAGTATGCAGCACAGTGGTACAAATAAAGGAAAAAGAATAACTTGGCTGACGGAATCTAGACGTGAAAGAATGGGACCAGATGAAGCTGTGGACAGATCTAAAATCATGAACTTGTATAGAAAAAGCCCAAATCCCGAAATTGAAAGCAGAAAACTAACTGCTTAAGCAGGGACCACAGAAAAAGCGGCTCAACCACCACCCTGAGAGAAGCACTTTATATATAAACACGCACATAGAAAGAGGCTGCCCACAACAACTACCATGACCAGAGACTGCATCAATCGACGTATCAAGCGTGGAACAAAGGAGATGATAGATAGTCTCAACTCTACAGTCCCTGATCAGGCCACACCTGTACTGCCATGCTCAGTTCCACTCTGAATTTCAAAAAGGCCAATGACAAACTGGCTTCTTGAAGAACTTCTCTAGTTGATAGTGAGAAGACCCAGAAACCAGAACATCTGTGCATCCATTGAAGGAGGGGCGGAGGAATGGCCAGAAAGAGAGAAGGCGCGGGGATCCCAGGAGCACTCTCCCCAGTATACGGAAAGGGCCGCCCTGGGATAAAGAAAGCAACCAAACTCAGCAGTTCCAGAAGTCACAGCTAGTGCACAAAAGTTCCAAAGTGCTGGGTTTCAGCTCACCACCAAAGAGAGTCTGTAAAGCCCATGGCTGCAGCATAGAGGCAGTCAGCTCCCTGCTCCTGGAAGTGCTGAAGCAGAGCTGAGTCACCTCCCGATGAGGAAGCTGCAGAGAAGCCTCCACACCTAGTGAGGTATTGGGCAGCCAATGTCCTGTCCATCCCTAAGATTTCAGGATTCTAGGGCCGAGTCCCAGAGGGTGATATGAGATCCATTTATAGGATGACTGTGCCTGTGTCAGGGCTCTGTGCAGAGGTGTGGGTGTCTGTCCTTTCCCTGGGTATGTGTGTGTGACAGCTGACCCCCAGATGGATTTACAAAAGGTGAGGCTCTGATGGTGCCTGGTGTGGGGCTACCCAGTGCTCATGAAGTGTCACCACACATTCCTATGCCCAGCACACTCCGAAAACAGTGTCACAGCCCAAATACCCAGATGAATTAAGAGCCCATCACCTGAAAAACATGTGTTGTTTCTTCACAGGTAAATGAGCACGTAGGTGGAGGCTCCTCTGAGGACCCACCTCTCTGAGTCTGCACCCCTTAGCTGGGAGGGGGTGTCAAGTCAGGCCTGTGGAGGGTCCCTCAAGGGCCAGGAGGAGGAATGGAGAGATAATTCCCTGTGGGAAGAGGGCCATTCCCTGTTGTCTAAAATGGACCACACTCGGTGTGACAAAGATTACAAGAATTTGCAGACTGTCTTTTTATAAACCCTCCCGTCTGCAGAGCCCACCCGGCACCACGAGCAGCCAGACGTTTCCTGTTTTCCAGCACTTGTGATTGTCACCGCTCCAACCACCCCCAAAGGGCCCACCTCAGCCTAACGGCAGGGCCCTAAGGGAAAGGAGGGGCGCAGGAGCAGGCCAGGGCTGGGCCCCTGGATCCTCAGCCAGTGTGCAGACGTGTGTGGCCCTTGGCCCTCAGGAGCCCAGCACACAGCAGACTAATAGCCCACGCTGTCCAGTGCCGCTTGGCAGCCGAGGGATGGCAGTTAAAGGCCCACGAAGAGCCCTAATTACACCTTTCTCCCTCAGGCGCCGTGCGCGTCCTCAATCACTGTAGAGACTCGGTCCAGCCTCTGTCCAGCCCCTGGAGAAGGGGTCCACCTGGCGTCTGCCGCTGACCCATGAAGTCAGCGAGCCAGGCAGAGAGACAGAAGGACACCCAGACAGCTCACCTGGACACTGACGCGGCCCCTCCCCAGGAGGAGAAGCGATGGAACCAGGCACGCTGGCGGTAGATCTCCAACAGAAACACCCCGTGACTCATGAGTGAACACATAATTAGCCGTGAAGCCTTGGGCTTTGTTGGTTGGTGAGTTGGGACTTTTGGGGTTTAATACCATCATTCACATTCCCTAAACACAAAGCTCCCTGGGAGGACACACCTTCTTATTTCAATGCCACAAAGTAAAACATTCGGAAGGAGCTCGGAAGACCCACGTTCTGCTCTGTTCTGAACACTAAGGTACAGTGTGAGCGGAGGTCAGTGCTCCAGGTCTGTTTCCCCTTCCTTCTGTGAGGACTCTTAAGGCCCGAGCAGCTCTAACACCTTCTGACTGGAGGCAGGAAGGAGACGTGACTGGGACTCGCCTTTCTCCTCTCCTTTCTTTCCACAGGTCACACTGAATCACCAGTAGTGCCACTTGGCCTGGCCTCATCTGCATGCTGAGGCTGAAGGATCCTGTACTCATCTTGTCAGACCCACCTCGTGTTAGAAGTTTCCAAGCAAGCCAACCCACTAGCCAATCTCACGTCTTCACATAAACATGGTCATTTCATGGGACCTAGGGCCTGAGAGGGATCCTGCACTCTCCCAGGCCACCTGGGGAAACCGAGGCCCCGAAAGAGGCTTCCCCGGGTCTGGGCCCTCTCTTTTCAGAGGGCTTCTTAATAGTGGCCTTTTCTGCAATGAGATGGTCCCCAAGCAGCCTGAGGTCTCCCAAGGGAGATGCCAGGCCTGGAGCTGTGCCCCGCTCCCAGCAGCCAGGCTTGTCCTCAGGACAACACTCTTGCTCTTGCTCTTTGGTGCTCAGTGCATTGGGTCCAAAGTCACTGAAAGACTCAGCCTGGGTGTGTGCAGACCTCCCTGTCTCACTGACCTCACCCCAGAGCACCACGTTCAAATGGCCAAGAAAGCTTGTTTAAGAACTGAACTCACAGGTCTTCCACTGGAGTCTTAAATTGAGTTAATACATGGAAAACACCTAGACTCATTCTTGGCATAAAGTGAGTACACAACAAATGTGAGTGATGACTGATGCTATTTCATTGGAGAGTAAAATCAGATCTCTGGAAGCTCCACCCACAGAGATCCTGATTTCTGGATCTCTGGATCTCCACCCACAGAGAGCCACAATTAACAAACCCCCAAGCAGCTCCAACACAGGGGTCCACAGACCACACTCAGATACACCTAGTGTGGCCTAGTCGAGCTGGGAACCCACTCCCACCGCCTGTACCTCTTACTACCAAGAGCACAGACAGAGAACCAGGATAGGGAGCCGGAAGGTCATGCCACAGGCTGGTCCAGCTCCCTCTGCCAGCTTTTCCTTCAGCGGCCCATTCTGCACCCCGTCAGGAATCCACAGTTTGCCTTAAGTTGAGCCCAAACATAGAAATTGCTTCCAGATACAGCATTTAGAGCACAGGGGGTCAGAGATACAAAGGCCTGTTGAGATGATCTGGTCAAACCATCTGGCTGTTTTGTCGATGAGAAACCTGAGGGGTCTACAGGGTAGAGGGGACTTGCCTAAGGTCATGCAGTCTGTTGAAGAGTCCTGACACCCTGTCAGGGTCCCTAACCTCAGAGCTGGGCAAACCCCTAAACCTTATTACCAGGCATCAGGACCTTGCTTACTACCTGTCTGGTAGGGGCAAAGAGGTGGCTTTACTTCTCCATTTTAAAATCATCTACAGCTGGGGCTGGAGTAGTGGCTCAGTGGTAGAGCACTTGCTTGGCATGTGTGAGGCCCTGGGTTCGATTCTTAGCACCACATATAAATAAATAAAATAAAGGTCCATTGACAATTAAAAAATATTTTAAAAAATTATCTACAGCTCATACACAATTCACTGTCCACCTGTCTGGCATTATCAGCCAAGTTCAAGTGCCTCTTCCTGTTGGGCATGGTGGTGCAGGCCTATAATCCCAGTGGTTTTGGAGGCTGAGACAGGAGGATCACAAATTCAAAGCTAGCCTTAACAAAAGCCAGGTGCCAAGCGACTCAGTGAGACCCTTTCTCAAAATAAAATAAAAAGGGCTGGGGATGTGGAGCAGTGAACTCAAGTGCTCCTGAGTTCAATCCCCAGTACCAAGAAAAAAGCATCTCTCCCAACTCCTGGGCTGCGTGGTTCCAGGGCTTTCTTCTTTAAGGCTACTCTGATGTTTCTGTTTGTTCAGTTTCACCTACGTATCCTGGAGCAGGGGAGCGACGGAACAGAAAGGATCACCGGAAGGAGTTGACCCCAGTAATCCAACACCCACAGCCCCATTGGCAGGTCCCTGACTTAGGAATTCTCTGCCCTAAGCATTCTTGAAACTCTAAGGCAAGACTGACTCATCCTCCAACTGTTCCATTGTTGACCCCCATCTCTCACAGCCCCTCAAAACAAAATAATGTTCATTGTTTTAAAAAAAAAACTAATAAAACATTTTTAAAAGCAATTCCTTTTACAACCCCTCTGTGGGGATCCTGCCAGGGCTGGGGGAGGTTGGCTTCCTATGGAGGCCAGAGCAGGGCTGTAATTAGCTTGGCAAGAGTGGCAGGAACTACTGACACGCTGCCCAGCACAACAGGGAGAACTTCCCAAACAGGACTCTTCCCCAAGAAGCCAGGGTCTATGAACATGTCCTTTCTCAGGGTAGCACCTAGGGGGCCCAAGCAGCTAGAAATGGATCAGTCCCTGATCCAAACACCTTGGAAGTTGTTTCCAACTGCTGTGTCCCAAAGCCGAGAGAGGCAATGAACCCCTGAAGCTGCAGTTGCTCTTTCGTGGTCAGGATTTAGGGAAGCTAATTACCATCTCTAATAACAGCCTACGAGTGTTTCCTGGCAGCACCAAGTTGGGGCAGCTTCTCTCCCATCTCTTATTTCTCCACATCTGGATCTAATTCTACCAGTGCCTCACCACTCTCTCCATTTATGAACAAAACAAGGGAATATCCCCCAACCCTGGGAGAACCTTCCTGCTCTTTCTAGGGTTCTATTCAGAGTTCTCCTCTGACCCTGAACCCTCTCACAGGCCTGCCTCACTGTTGACACTGCTGAGCCTGTCCGGCTGACTCAAGACCACAGGCAAATTGGACTGTCTGGCCCTGAATTTACCCCAGATGTTCACTGGATGCAGAACAAAAGTGGCAGCCGTCAGGAAATTTCTAAGTTAGGGAGCAAGTGGCTTCAACTCATCTGAGTGCTGCCTGTGATTAGGTGATAATCCCAGATAGCCCTGGAGTAGAAGGTGGAGCCTGACACGCGGGCACCCAGCTCCTTCCATCGCATCCTGTGTGTCATCGCAGCGAGGTGCAGCCTGCCCTGAGGTAACACATTTGATCCTGGAGGTAGAAGGGCTCTCCCAAATTTTGGCACAGGTGGGAAGGTCCCAAAAAAGATCTGGTTTTCTACAGTTGGTTCCTCTACATTGGAGCAGATATGCAGGTAAAGGTCCAGCAGGCCAGTTTTATGTTCACAGTACCCTTCCTGCAGGTCCACCTCCAGCCCCGCCTCCCTGTTCAAAGCCTTGGGCTCCCAGGCACTTCTTGACTAGTAAGAAGAGGGGGAAGCTGCCAGAATAGGGTCACCTAAACCACACACACACACACACACACACACACACACACAGTTAGGATCCAAACTATGCCTGAGTCCACAGCTGTCTTCCAAATGGGAACTCCCAACCAGGCACCCGCACATCTGCTGAAGTCACATTTGTAGCAATTATCAGTCTGAAAATCAGAGGACAGATATCCCCCCTGGGAAACAAGGTGAAGGAAGCCTAACGTCCTGGAGAGACACAAATTCAGGGAAGGCAACAAGTAGCATATGGAAGAAGGACAACGATTCAAATAACCCTAACTTTAAATAAATAAATAAGCAAGCAACACTTACCCCAATGGATCTAGTATCCAGAAAGTGGTAGACTGGGTGGGAAAGTGACGCCATGCGATAAAGGAGTCAACTCTCAACCCATCACCAGTCTAAAGCGCCTCTCAGCACCTTCAACAACTCCCGCCGCCCCCCCCCCCGGCCCCCCCACCCGCGCCCACATCAAAGATGCTAAGGACAAGAGGAACAAGAAGCAGACCAGAATCCCCAGGCGCTGGGGCAGTAGGGGCACAGATTGGCATCCCACCCGGAACCCCAGCCCTAGCTCCACTTGGCACTGTCTTGAGCGCATTCCCAGGCACCACGCCAGCCCTGCCCTTTTTGAGGTCGCTCCAGGGGGAGCCCAAGCGGGCTTTTTCCCGCAGAAAAGGGAAGAGGATGGCTGCGGAGGGGTGGGAGGGCAGCTCGCCCACTTACCAGCAGCTCTTGCCCGCCCGCCTCCAAAGTCGACCAGAGGGAGCTCGAGAGGGGGACGCGGGACGGCTCAAGGCTGCAGCATGAGTGCCGCTGGCCGTGCCCTCTCGACATTTAAACGATCCGGGGCGTGAGTCACTGCAGGGGGCAGTGTCTGCGCCGGGCGGGGGCGGGGGCGGGGGTACCGAGGGCCGCGGCACTGCCCCGACGTCCTGGAGTGGCACCGGCGGACGCACGACCTGCGTTCAAGTTTAAGGGGTGTTATTGGAGCACATTTTAAAACCAGTTTCTTCTTTTCTCCCCCTGGGTTCCTCTTGGGTTCTTTTGCTGCATTGGCGTTGGTTGCTCAGGAGAAGGTAGTTTCCCCCAGCCCCAGCCCCCTGGCCAAGTGACCGCGGACCCTGCTGCCTCTCATCGGCCCAAGGAGCCAGCCCTGCTTTGCTCCTAAGAGCTGTCCCCAGTGCCGCTCGCTGTGGCCCTAGAAAATGTGTTCATTTTTTTTTTCTTTTTTAAACTTTTTATATAAAAATAGCTTCAAACTTACAGAAAAATTGCAAGAATAATACAAGGAACACTGGTATGCTTAACCCAATTCGCCTGGTGAGAGGATTTGGAGAACATTTATTTTAAATTACAAGGAAAGGCAAAAGTACCCCCACTGAGTCTCTCCTTAAAACAGCCGTTGGGTTTTCTTCCGATGCCACCCTCTGTGCCGGTTCTGCCTGCTCCCAGAGCTGGGTTAGGAACAGCAATCAACGGGGCATGTCTAAGAATGAATCGTGCGTTCTCCTTTGCCCTTTACCTGTGCATTATAGCCCATGACCTGTCTACCCTCTGTCCCTTCCTGGTAGGGGACCAAGACATCACTTCTTTTGGGGGGACTGAGGAAATCACAGTTGGAGAGGCAGGAGGCTGGTAGTCCCCAGGTTCTCCTCCAGGACTAATCTTCAACATGCTATGAGCTACTTTGGGCTGAAGCCACCCTGCCCTTCCCTGGCTCAGTTTACCCTGTCTACCAAGCAGGGAGAGTGATATTACACTCAGTGCCTCACAGAATGCCAAGAGCCTTAATTAATGTTTGCACGGTGCTTTGAGATCTGCGATGAAAGGCTGACATAAAAGTGCATAGTGTTATTACTGAAATAGTCATTTGGGTGGCTTGCCATGGTCATGCTCTGCAGCCTGAATCATACTACATTCCTCCTCACCTGGGCACTGTGATTCAGAGCCAGAATCAAAAAGTACTCTGACCATTCAATGACAGGAGCACAAGCAGGATAGACACTGTTAGGAGTGAGTCCTACTACCACCCCCGTCTACCCCCAGTCTAATCTCTTCAATCCTTAACCTCCCTTGGAAATCACATTCCACATGAAGAACCCATTCTTTCACTGCTGAGGCCGCCACATCCCAAACCAGGGGTAATAACTTCCTGTCCACTGAACCTGTGAGAATAAGAATGACTCCCATTTCTCTTCTTTTCTGAATCCTAACTGCAGCCATTCTGTGCTAGGCCCATGCTGGGAGAGTTATGGACCACACAGGCATGGACTGGATACACTCTAGGTTGGACATTCAGCAAGCACTGCTGTGAGACAGAGACCATGAGGGACTTTTTGACATCTATATGTCACTTCATATTTTATGACATTAGGGGCCAGGTGATTGATGTGAGGAAACTTCCCTGTCATAAGAGCTTAGCAACCCATTAAGTACCAGTAACATCCCCTACCCCAAGCTGTGAGAACCAAAAATGTACTGGACATTTTGCATACACGTGCGCATGCACACACACACACACACACACACACTGACTGGAGAATTACTGATCTATTTGAAATTTCTGTGAGCGGAATAACCACTTCCATTTTACAAGGAAACTGAGACTTGGGCCAGTTAACAAATTTCCCTGGGGTCATATGCTGAGAGTCGGAACCAGGATTTAAGACCCAGCTTGCAGATTGTGTGCTAAATTTGCACCACCATTGGATTGAATTCTGGGATACACAACCTACTAGAGATAGAACCATGGTCTGGCTTCAACTGTGCAGAGCAGGGACTGTGAAAGGATGAGGGGAGTGAGGTCATGGCAGAACCTTCCTCATGGTAAGGCTGGGAATGTGCATGCATTTGAGGGGATGGTGCTGGAGTTTCATGTAGAAGGCCACCCTAAAAAATGAACAGGACCCAGACACGTGGGGAAGTGGAAAAGCATCATGTCAGAGAAGGAGAGAGAGCACTTGACCAAATATCACATTTGGCTGGAGCCCAGGTTTGTGGGGGTCCTCTCTGAGGGCTGGGATGCCTCCCTGAAGGGCATGATGACCCTCTGCAGGCAGAAAGGGGCCACCATGGATGTTGCAGGGAAGAACAAGCACACTCAGAGGCATGTGCAGGAAGTGTAGTATGGCTGGGCTTCAAGGTCTCATGGCAGACCCTCAAAGCACTCAGGGCCAACCTCTCTGGCCCTTATGACAAGACATGGGCTTCAATACAGAAACCAGGCCATGCAGAGGGACCATTTCTCCAGATTGGTGATGCCACAGAGATCCAGCTGCAAGAGCTCTCAGTTTCAGTCCACTGAGACCCCTTCTTCCAGGGGGAGGCCACCCTCTTCTCAGAGAAAAACAAAATGGCACCCAGTTGGCCCCCACAGTTGAGATGGATTAGCCTTATTGACATCACCACAGGAGGTGTAACCTCAGGGCACACTTTGTAGGGGGTGGGGGCTGAGAGCCAAGGTTGCCTCAGGGCTCCAGAAAACTCTGATCTTTCCCACCTTTGTGTCTCTGGGTAAGAAGCTTAGAATCCAGGGGATTGCAGGTCACAGGTCTGAGCTCCCCTCTGTGGAGGAAATCCTGCACAGGGACTGGATAGGGGCAGTTACCATCCTACTTAGTCCACCTCAGGGTGAGGGGCATTGCCTCACCATGAAGCCCCTGGTAGACTGGCAAAATAAAAAAGGTGGAAAATATGCAACGATGTGGGTGGTCTCACACGGCTGATGCTGATGGGAATATAGATGGGTAGAGCAATAGCTATGAAAATTCAAGGTATGTAAACGCACTCACCAGTGTCAGGTGTACTTAGGAAGACATGGTGGTGCGTGTTCACAAAGCTGTACTTTCCAGGATGTGCAGTGCAGCACTAAATATAAAATGGATCATTTTAAACAATGTGTCCGTCCATGAGACTAGCCACATATGTCAAGAAAATCCACAACAAATAGACACTTTAAAAAGATAAGATATAGCCAAGCGTAATGGTACATACCTGTAATCCCAGCAGCTTGGGAGGCTGAGACAGGAGGATTGTGAGTTCAAAGCCAGCCTCAGCAAAAGCAAGGTGCTAAGCAACTCAGTGAGACCCTGTCTCTAAATAAAATACAAAATAGGGCTGGGGATGTGGCTCAGTGGTCGAGTGTCCCTGAGTTCAATCCCCAGTACCAAAAAAAAAAAAAAAAAGTGAGATACGTCTTTATTTGCTGAAAAGAAAAATTTATCAGCAAAAGAAGCAAATCATAGATTATGTAATACGGTTGCATATATTGACTTTAGAAAAAAGACATAAATGTTTTATTATACCTCCACATATAGGAAACAGTAAGGAAAGCAATCTAACTCTCTGTTGATCATAATCACACAAAAGGTTAAAAGTTGGGGCAGAACCTATGTCCTCACTGAGTGGCCCTCAGTGCCCACAGAGGCTGCATCAGAGGGCTCTTCAGGGCTCCCATCTCTGCCGGGTCCCTCCCACCTATTTCCTCTCCACAGACCATCCATCTACTCCGTTCTGCTCTCCTTGCAGTGGCCCCTCTGTTTTGGAGGCAGAGAAGGCCATGGACCCTCAAGGTCCCAAGGAGTGGCCTGTGGCTCCAGGCTAGCTCCTAGGGTCCTGGCTGTTCTGTGAATATTAGATTGTTCCTCAGAGCAGTGAATCCCAGAGACAAACAGGCATCCCCTTTGCTCAGTGGACGCCTTTGTAAAAGAACTTTAATGGAGTGTTCTGCCACTTCAGTCTTTGTTGATTTACTCAGTTTAATAAGAACTTTTCAATACAAATGAGGAGGAACAAGAAAGAACAGTACAGTGAAGGAAAATGTTATCTACCTCTATGGTATGTATGTGTACACTTATATACACACGTGTGTATAAGTGTGTCTTTATCCACTTCTGTACAATTGGGCCTCTGTGTCCATGGGTTCTATAGATACAACCAACCAAGGATTAGAAATATAAGTAGGCCCAGGATGATTGTGTCTGTACCAAACATGTACAGATTTTTCTTCTCATTATTCCCTTAAAAATGCAGTGTAAATATGTGGATAAATGCATTCTACTTTCATGTATAACTAATTGAAACAAATACAAAAAAATTTTAAATACAGTGTAACAACTATTTACATAGTATTTATATTAGGTACCGCAAGTAACCTAGAGATTATTTAAAGTGTATAAGAGGCAAGACACAGCGGCACGCGCCTAGGATCCCAGTGATTCAGGAAGCTGAGGCAGGAGGATTGCAAATTTGAGGCAGCCTGGGCAATTTATAGAGACTCTGTCTCAAAATAAAAAGAGCTGTGGATATACCTCCATGATAGAGTACCTCTGGGTTCAACCCCCAGGACAACACAGAGGAAGAAATAATGAAATAAAGAAGGAAGGGAGAGAGAGAGAGTAAGGAGAAAAGAAGATAAAGGATGGAAGGAAGGGAGAGAGAAAGAGAAAGGAAGAAAGAAAGAGGAAGGAAGGAAGAGGAGAGGGAAGGAGGGAGATGGGGAAAGGAAAGAAAGGAGGAAGGAAAAAGAAAGAGGCTGTGTGTACGGTAATACTACAGCATTTTATCTAAGGACTGGAGCATCCAAGGATTTGGATACCGGTAGGGGATCCTGGAAGCAGTGCCCCATGGATACAGAGAGACAACCATATACAAATGCACAGGAAAAGATGTACAGGGCTAGGTGCAGCACTACTGCTGCAGTGTGGGCAGGGAGCAGTGGTGAATGACATTTTTAACTCTACATAGTTTTGCATTTCATTGAAATAAATGTGCATTATTGAATAGCATCTAGTAGGTAATTAGGACAACTATTTTTTTTAAATCTTTAAACTTTGTTT